TACTACTACTACTACTACTACTACTACTACTATTACTACTACTACTACTATTACTACTACTACTACTACTACTACTACTACAATCATCACAGTAGGGTACAGGGGAATTTTTATAACCGTTAACGCTAGAGGGCAGATGCCGAAATGATGAGAGTGTGGACGGATGGGAACGACAAGACGATAGATCAGGGTGCAAATTTTACACAAGAGTTCTGCGAGTTCTGTGATCAATGTATCGATCGGAATTAATGATGCACGACTGATGATCATCGAACCACGGCGGATTGTTTTGAAGTATTGCTTGAAAAGGCCGGGAAACACTACAGGGGTGCAATAGAGTATAATGGGTAAAACGTATTGATGAACGAAAGACAACGGACTGACTGTGGGATTAGGAACTGTCTGGTTTTGCGTAACTGAAAAGATAGGCATCTCAGTTTCCCCATACAGTTGCAAATGTGTGGACCAATGGACTTTGCTGTCGATGGAGACAGTCAGGTCATTCTGGATACAGGTTTACCTTTAAGGGTAGCTGAATCCGTTGGAAATGAGGACTGGGAAAGAATGAAAATACACTTGTCTTCGTCTCACTGACTATGAAGCAATTACTTTGACTACAGTATGTGTACAGAAGTGCAGCAACGAAATGACCATGGACAACACATTGTGCAAACCCATTTGTTTCTGAGTTCTTTATTGAAATTCGTGATGAGAAAACAGTGTTTTCAACTTTGACATGGCAGGATACTTTTTATGGTAAGTACCGAAACAACAACACAAATTATATCGGACTGTATTGTATTGTAGTGTATTGTAATGACCTGTGCAGGCAGCTGTACCTACATTTCAGACAAAAAATGTGTTCATTGTTACAATAGGATAATAGGATAGAAATGAAATGAATATTTATATATACTAATGATAAAACATGAACAGATGATCGTCTTTGTGGGTTTAAACTTAGTTTGTTTCGGATCTTCGTCTTATCAGTGCAAAGGCGAGCCACAATAGGGTACAATTGAATTGCAATGATTGTTTATGTGGGAGAGTGATCAACGATAATTAGATCGGGTTGTAGCGTGGGAACGACAAATAGATAAGTTGGGATTAAGCGGATAACTGGGGTCGTTGAGCATCTTCTTATGAGCCAAATTCTCACATGAAGTAATATGAAAATCACATAATTCTGTGATTAGAGTGTTTAAAGGAATAAAAGAAACGGCTGATAATCATCCAACCGCAACGATTAGTAATGAAATCCTTTCTAAGTAGCCCAGGGAAAACAACGGCTGAACAATAAAGTAAGACAGGAAAATGCATTGATAAACAAAGGAGCATATAGTTTCATGCTTCACTCCAAACTGTCCTAACTTGCATATCTGGAAGGATAAGCGATGCAGTCAACCAACACAAGCTAGCGAATGAGAGGACCAACGTAGATGGCTATCTATGGTGACCCTTAAGTATTTGGTGGTGTAGATTCTGGCAGTTTCATTCAGATTGTCTCATCCTTTTGTCCCGACTGACATCCTTCACTCTTCCACTGCTACCAATATCTCATTTCACTAGTCTGCATCCAACTGTGCACCTGATTGCTTAATGTGCCCTGATAGCAATCACTGGGACACAGGCGCACTCATGCTCGTGTGTATTTTTGTCTGTGTTACGTTTTTTACAATCGAATTGGGAAATCCGGCATGAATTTACTAACATGAACAGTTCGATGCAACGCTCGGAAATGAAGGTCAATTGAATTTTTGAAATAAGTCTGTTATATAGATCATCATCATAATTATCATCATCATCATCATCATCATCATCATCATCATCATCATCATCATCATCATCATCATCATCATCATCATCATCATCATCATCATCATCATCATCATCATCATCATCATCATCATCTTCTTCACCATTATCAGTATCATCACCATCATCATCATCATCATCATCATCGTCATCTTCCGAATCATCATCATCATCATCATGATCATCATCCGAATCATCTTCATTATCATCATCATCATCATCATCATCATCATCATCATCATCATCATCATCCCGCTTCATGCTGATCGTCATCATCAGCAACATCATCATCACTATCATCATTATCACCACCATCATCATCATCAAATACATGCAACATGTTCCCACTTATGCCACCCTGCATGACTAGTTTGAACCCGCAATCCGTAAACTCGTATCATCAAATTTACACTGCGCTTTAAATACTACTACCACTACTACTACTACTAATACTACAACTACCATTGAAAACAATAAGCATACCCCATTTGAGGTGGATGGGTAGGTGAGTGGCGGGGATATTATTTCCTCAGAAGAAGAACAGTGAAAAGTGATTGTTGTTAGCACGGTGTCGCACCTGACGGGATCCGTGCAGGCTCTTAACGATCGGGACTAAATTTAATTCTACCCAATCAACAATAAAAATCTCTAAGGTACAATGAATAGTTCCTTGGACGTACATCAGCCGCCTGTGGTGATAGCTTTCACAACCACGTTTTCAAACGTGTCTATTTTTCCATTCTAAACTATTTCAATATTCATTGACAGGACTTGAAACCGGTGACAATCTATCCGATGATAACCGGTAAAAAACAATTCAATCAATGAAGGGTATGAATTGGTCTGAAAAACTCGTTCCCCGACTTTCACGACCCTCGACCAATCGTTCTAAAAATGAAACCATCCAGACAATGTACGGATCAATAGATGCACGTGATAGGCAGTTTCCGGTCCTGATTACGCAGTAGCTGAATCATGAAGTGAAACTGTGAAACAAGTTGCATTTTTATTTCACAATTGTTCTGACAAATTCCTCGGACTGTGCATGATTTACTTACTAATTTTACTTGCATGCATTTGACTGATTTACTGCACTTGACAAACTACCACTATTGGGCGATTAGATGATTATTCGAGACCAGGACATGAAGCGCAATCCAGTTGTGACAAGTTTACCTCACTGTATTCGAGTCTCATCTGTGTAGTACGCCGTGTTGTACAGCTTCTCAGTTCGTGAATCTTTCCGTTGTTTTCATCTGCAGACACGCTTCATTCTGATCATGTGGCCCTTATTATTATTATTATTATTATTATTATTATTATTATTTCAACACGTAACCAATTACAGAGAACTGGCAAATGTGCCACAACTTATGAACAAAAAGAAATCTGTAGAATGTGTTCATAGGTTGTGTGGGCATGTTACTTCCCGGTTGCCCTAATCGAGGAAGGGGAATAACCTCGGGGTCCCCGCCCGAAGCCTTTGACTAGACAGCCAAACCTGCAAGATAACAGGATGGAGCTCAGGGTTCGCAGTCCTTTGGGGCCGATGTCCAGTCCATTGGATCATGCGTCTTTTGGACGGGGTCAGACGTCCAGGGTTGCCAATACACCTTGGTGCCAAATCGAGCCGGTGACCACCGCCACAACCCGGGAGGTGTGAGTGTATTTCGTGATTGGTTGATTCTGAATCAGGGATTTTAGCCAACTCCCCTAAATGAACGATC